AGCGGCTCTGCGCCTGAAGTACAAACGAGCTGATTTCTCCGGCCCACCCCTCGTTGTGGTAACCTACTCGGGGCGGGGGAATTGAGGCCTTGAAGTCGTTGCCGGGCCCGCTGCTGCTGTTTCTAGGGAGGGGTCTGCTTTAAATTCAACATAGTCTTGAACTTGGCCTCCTAATGAAATGGGTTAAAACATCTGAATGTTGGATCGTACGTGGCAGCAGATTTGTGACTCCTCGGTGGGTCCGAGGTAAGGAATTTTCAGAGCAAGTTTCTGTCTTCTAGGAACCTTTGAAAATGCCGACCCTAAAGAAATAAAGGTTTGCTTTGCCAATAATCTTATTGGAGTTAGAATTGAATGCAGGGTGGACCAATTTGGTATTTATTTATTTATTTATTTTAGCCTATTAGATGTGTTACACTTATATTTGGTTCAGAAACTGGGCAAAATTAAATAAGCATAAGCATTTTTCGCTTTTCTGGTTGGTACATGGTGATACTAATGCCTGATAACTGAGTGTCAAGGAGTATTGCTTGTTTAAGTGTGTTTTGCATGTAGGTATGGTCGAAGCTGGTCTTGCAAAAGGAAGAATGAAAACAGGTGCTTGTTTGTCATTAATGTGCTATTGATAAGCAATGGGATGGGTAATAATAAAGTAAATGTCCAGTTCAGTCACAGGGAACTTCCCTTTTTAGGCTTGACCTCAGCCTGTTACATGTGTATTGCAAGGAATGGAATGATTTTATTTTTTTTTCTCATTTGGCCTTTGGCTTTAGTGTAGAGACTTACTTTATGAGATTGAAGAATACAAAACTCTGCGTTGCAGTATGGTCATAAAGAAATTCCAAAGAAAATAAAGTTGTTGGTAGCAAGTTGAAGTCTCTATGTGCTATTGCTTTGTTTCCTGTTTTTCTTCAATGCATGCAGCTTTTTCAAGTGTTCTCTGAAGTCAGTGGGATTATTTCCATCGACGTTGATGGGCTTTGGTTTTTTCAGGTCACAGCTTCCCAACAGCTGCGGGCCAGTACCAGTGCTTGTACATATGTATTTTCTCTAAGCAGATTTTTGTTTTGGGGTTTTGTGGTTCTTCTTACTAGGCTTTAGATTTAAGTTCTGAGAAACAAATAATAGAAAATGGTTCAAGAAGGTGTTAGAACTGCAATTTGGCTTGTCCACGACTATTCATTTTCTTCCACAGGATGCATTGGTAGCAATTAAGTCAATGTACATGTGACAAATAGTCTTTGCAAATAGTATGATTTCCCGTTCAAAATGAGTAGTATCTCTGCGTTTTCATGTTCAGTTACTTATTTCATCTTGTGCTAGCACTTGCGAGGTTACTTTGAAGTCTTGCATTTGGAAATGACAACCTGTTCAATCTCATTGGAAGGACATTTCATAGTCTTGCTTTTGTATTTTATTTAATTTTTTTATTTAGGTTTAAAGCGTGTGGTGTTAAGTATTCAGCAGGGTCAGTGTGTGATCAAACAGTAGGCAAATACATGCACTTGTGTTGGTTGACATTGCTGAAATCCCTCATGAAAAAGAATTATTTTAATATTAGACGAATTTGCTATTTAGTGTGTTTGTGTATGGTTATGATCTACTTTCTGACTGTTTCAGAGTGGTGATGGAGCTGAGCTGACAGCCAAGCCAAAGAGAAGTTTCTACGCAGCAAGAGATTTATACAAGTACCGACACCAGTATCCAGTAAGAATATTTTATGGTTTAAAATTGCCTTTTTGGTAGAAGATAGCACACAACCCAAACATTCCTAAACCTTTGTGGTGTCTAATAAATACTAGAAATGAGAATCAAAAAGCTGATGCAGAGGCCCAACGTATGCCAGTGGGAGAGGAGTGAAACTAGTGCAGTGTCTCTTCATCTCAGGTGTGTGTGCAAACACACGGGATGTGTAAGCCTGGGAACAGCAGTAGGAGCCCAGAAAAAGGCTTGTGCCTTTAACATCGAAGAGGGTAGATTATAGGGTCTGGACTTCTTATTTCTCTCTCGAGGTCCTTGAGACTGAAGGGAAGGTGCTGCTGTGCTTGATGCTTTAACCTCTGCCTTGGCAGGAGAAGGTACCAGCCAGAAGTCACTTGCAGATCCTTAACCTGAGATTTAGGTGCATGAGTAAAACTCTGGTTCCTAAAACTCTGAAATTATTTTGTCCTCAAATTATTCAAAGAGCACGATATCGCTTTCTGGATACTCTTGATAGGTTTTTGTAGGCTGATGATGTCCTATTTCCTTTTTTTTAGCAGAACTTTAAAGATCTTCGATATCAAAATGACTTGTGTAATCTCCGCTTTTACAAAAATAAAATCCCATTTAAACCTGATGGTGAGTAACCTGTGGCAATAATAGTGATAACAAAAGAATGCTCACTAATAATAGTAGCAAAGTGAAACTGTAGTGATAACTGCGGTGCTGACAAATTAAAGGTGTATAGTTATATATTGTACAACTTGACCCTCCCATGTTGGGGTAGCGTGTTGATGACACGGGAGCAGGTTATGCTTAAACCAGAGTTGGCTTTTGCTCTAGGGAGGCGGTGCTTTTCTCATACGTTTTCAGCATGATGTAGTACAGGGCATTGTTTCTACCACTCTCTTACAGTAGTGGCGCTACCTTTTATTAAACAAAGATAAAGTTGTTCTGCTACGCTGCACAAACTCTTGCTGCTTGAAAAGGAGTGGCAGCGATAAGGGTGTTATCCCTAGCACTACGTAAGGGAAAAAGAATGTGTTGTAACTACCTTATGTGAGATTATTATGATAACAAAAATAAAATAATTTCTCAAAGTCCCTAGTGGTAGTGGAGCCGGAGCCTCGTATGCAGGATTCTGCACAAAAACAGGACGAGCTGAAAGGTGCCAAATGCTGCTCTAGAGAGTTTGCAGTCAAAGTATGAGAGACAAGAGGGTAGCAGACAGATGGGGAAGCAGAATGAGACAGTAAAACGGTCTTGGTTAGAATGATAAACAGGAGTCTCGGCACATGAGAGCTTAGACATTGGCAAAAAAAATTTTGCAGGCCAAAAATAAGCTTTCGAGAGTTTTAAAAGAATGGTGAGGAGGTTGCTTTAAAGATCTTTGCAGAAAGATCCTCTCTGCATGAGAGCAGCTTGGGAGGAAATACTGAAGTGCACATTGGGGCACCGAATTAGCGAGATGTGGAGGCTGCCATCGAGGCAGGATCATAGCAACAAATGGGTTCTGATAAGGTAGGAAGGGACAGGTGACAGAAGGCTTTGGAAGTGAAGGCATACAGTTTTTGTTTGATGTTACCGAAAAGGGCTTCACAGTGGAAGAATGCAAAGCAAAAAGAGAGGCGATATGGAAAAGCTGCAGTCTAGAAACATGATCTCACCAGCAGCATTCCGGGTAGATGTAAGTGTGACAAGAGAGCATTTTTCAAGGTCAGGAAGAGGGATGTTGAGATGCAAAATGTCAGAGTTCTGATAGGAAGCTGGGTGGGAAGGAATGTTGTTATACAGAAGGATGTAAAGATGTACATGTTGGAAGGTTGAAGATGAGAGCTGTTTGTAGGCAAGATAGTGATAGTATGCTCAGCAAGTGAGAAAAGAAGTCAGGTTATGTGAAAGAAAGATAAGACCTTTGTTTTAGTCATCCTGAGCTTTATCTAGATATCCACAGGCAGATGCTGTGTTTTTAGTTTGACTGGAAGAAGTTAGATCTGTGAATTGCCAGTACAGAGGTAACAGATTCGGGAGATGTTACACAGAGAACAGATGCAGAAAGAAAGAGAAGGGCACTGAGGTCCATGAGAACCTGAGGACCACCTGAACCTGAAACTGAAAGCCAGAAAAGGTTGAGGAGGATCCTTTAACGTGCAAAATGAATTCAAGAGGATTAGCCACAAGAAGAGATAGTCATGAAAGCTAGAGAAGAGCTTCCCTCCTAAAATTTGTGAGGAATAAAATTTCTCTTAATATTTTAGGAGAAAGCCACAGTTAGCAGTGTCAGAGGTAGCCGATAGGCCATGGAGGCTGAAGTGTTGATATCTGCGAGCTCTGGTTATGTAGAAGTTTTTATTGAGAATGAGAAAGAGTAGCCACCACCTTGACCTGAGTCTGGATCTGTGAGAGTGTTCAGCAAGAGTCTAAGCTACCACATTAGGGACTGAACTGCTGGAGAACGTTACTAAAAAAAAGACATTTCTAGTGCAATACTAGATCTGAAGTTTAATTCCATGACCTACAGATTTAGCCTGTGGTTCTGACTCAGAGCTGCTCCGTCTGTCTCTCTGCCCTGGAATTGAGCAGCATTTTTCCGTTCACTTGTAATGTAGGTTGGATGCAGTGTGGCGATGGCAGGAGGTCCTCTTTGCAAGGTCCTTTTCCAGCCTTGCCTGCACTGGAAACCCCGTGTTCTTAGCAGCCCCTTTGGCTGTCTGCTTTCTCCATTTCTTGAAGAAAAGTACCAAATGAGTTCTCCTTTGTCATTGAGACCCAAGTGGAAATTTTCACTGGGGGGGAGAGAGAGATCTCAAATGTATAGTAAGAGACTATCTACATGGGGCTTTGCACTTTTTAGGCCGCTCCTTTGCTATTTGACTTTGTGAAAGCCACGTGTCAGTGGGAAAAGCTGTTAGTTTCAGAGTAGAAACAGGCTAACACTGAGTGTTCATTCATTGAAACAGACTGTACAAGTTTTGGAACAAGGAACATCCTTTAATGTACTTTGTGCAGTGCCTGGAAAAGTGCCCTGACCCATGACTGAATTTCATGACCGCAGTCTCAGTGCAAAGAATGATTAATTTCCTTTTACATGTACTTCGTCTCCTTTTTCTGTCACTGTTGTTTATTAATTACCAGTCAGTGTGCTAAAGGAATCTAGGACATGAGAACTTTTGGGGACATTGTCACATACCCTCTGCTGCTAAGTAACTTGGCATAAGTCAGTTGGTTTTGTTTATACTAAAATTTGATAAATCCCTTCTTTTTAATTAAGTTTTAGTAACTAAATTAAGTTTAAATTAAAATGAGTTTGTTTATGGCTGTAATAGACCTCATTTCACACAGTATGTGAAAGAGAATTAATGTATTCTATCGTTATGTTGACATGGCATGTACTTTATGTAGCTGAATGCTGGTTTTGACGGCTACCTAACAGTTTTCAAATTATTTTTATGCAGGGGTTTATATTGAGGAAGTCCTAAACAAATGGAAAGGAGACTATGAAAAACTGGAACATAACCACACCTACATACAGTGGTTGGTCACTTATTACCTATTTCTGTTTCAAAGCATTAATTTGATTAAGTGTTCATATCCTCTGAGCCGTAATATGCTTTTTCTTTTAACAGGCTTTTCCCACTGAGGGAACAAGGTCTGAACTTTTATGCTAAAGAATTAACTACATATGAAATCGAGGTAATACAAATTGAGCTCAATACAAACCGTCACGTTAATTTTGATACATAACTGCTTTTTGTTCTGTAGAGTTGTTTTATACAATGCAGAAATACTTGCTTTAGTGCCACTTAGAATTTTGGATGTATTCTTTGTTTATTAGGAATTCAAGAAAACAAAAGAAGCAATTAGAAGATTCCTTTTGGCTTACAAAATGATGTTGGAGTTTTTTGGAATAAAACTAATTGATAAAACTGGAAACGTAGCACGAGCTGCTAACTGGCAAGAAAGATTTCAACATTTGAATGAGTAAGTAATGACATGCACTCCACTCTCTAGAATTGCCACAGAATCTCTTTAGCCTTTTGTTTTCTAGAGAAGGGGAAGATATATATTCCAAAGATTGCCAGGAAAAAGAGAAAAAGAAATAGTCAGTGCCTGGCTTATGTCTGTATGTGTATGTCACTCCTTCCCCTTTTTTTGATTGTGCTTTCACCCATTAACAGTCTCGCTGACATCAATGAATTCCCTGAAAATACAACCTCAGATGATGCTGAAGAAGATCACAGTTCTAAATTAATTTGTCATGCTACTGAATGCATTTTCACCTGATCCCAAAGTGCTGCTTCTCAGCTAGAAAGAACGAGTGGCTAATCTTTGTATTCACATTTCTTTTTAAGAAAATCAGGTTCTCCACACCTATATATCTCCACACTAAATAACAAGATTTCCCTCCCTCCTTAAAACATGCAGTATTATGTATTTAATACTTCTTAATTGCAGTGCTTAACTGGAGAGATTTAGACGCGCATTAAGTCAAACTTTAGCCCAAGTTTCAGCACATTACATCTGTTGCTTTTCATCAGCGTTGTGTGGAGCATAAGTTTGCAATAAATTTTGTCACATATGGATTCATTTCAAATCTAGTGATCTCTTTCCTGATACCTCTGACCTTAGAGCTGAAGATTGTTTTCCTGTGGTATTTTGTTCTCCCATCCAAATGAAAGCTTGTAGGTAGAATTGCTGATAGATAATTTTTGGTGAATAATGGGAATAATTGATTATTTTTAATATTAATTATATAAATTAATTATAATTTTACTTAAATATTGTATGAGCCAATATGGATGTGGGTTCAGACTCAGGCCACAGGTAAATCGGAGTTTCAGGAAGGCCAAATGTTACTCACTGCATGTCTTTACACTCTAATTCCTATGTTTTCACCAGTGAGTAGCTGCACAGTTTTAAGTACGGAATTGTGACACTTTTTACCTAACTTTAGCCACCTAAAATATAGGCATTTAAGGTTTATGGTTTACTTGGATGTGCTTTATGAGGGAAGGAGCTCTTCACAAGCACTTCCAGAAGATAATTTGATTTGTCTTAGACACACAGTCCCATGACAGTGGGACTTGCTCTCCAGAGGTGCCTGTTTCTTCTCCCAGCCCTGACTGTATCAGCAGTGCAGGTAGTTAGTCTAGACTGGAGACACAACTTTTAAATAGCTTCAGTGAATCTTGTTCTATAGCTGTATTGCTGCAATACGTGACAAAACCCTTATTTTGGGAAGTGACTGGGCTTTCTCCTCAGAAAGAACACATACAGCAGAAAGAATCAAAATCAGTACACGTTTTGATTTTATTTTTTTTTCCAGCCTTTTGCCTCAGTGCATTTTACAGGCACTAATTTTCACTGAACATCCTAGCAAAGGAGGTGCTAGCAAGCTTCAGCAGCTGTGAGAAATTAAAGTACAGGAAGCCTGAAGTACACACCTGGAGTGATAAAAAGGAGTGAGGAATTGCAGTTCCGGTTCTGTATCTGTAAGGTGATTTGCTTTTTTTTTTTTTCTAATTCAATGGAATTTTTCCACCCTTTTCTTCCAAAGGTCTCAGCACAACTACTTGAGAATCACTCGAATTCTGAAAAGTCTTGGCGAGCTTGGATACGAGAGTTTCAAATCTCCCCTGGTAAAATTTATTCTCCATGAAGCTCTTGTGGAAGATACCATTCCCAACATTAAGCAAAGTGCTCTAGAATATTTTGTGTATACTATTAGAGACCGAAGAGAAAGGAGGAAACTCCTGAGATTTGCCCAGCAACATTATACGCCATCAGAGCATTTTATCTGGGGACCCCCAAGAAAACAGAAGTCGGAGGGAAGCAAAGCAAGTAAAAAGCCAGCATCTCCAGTTTCTGTTCACAATAGTTATATTTCTAAGCATAAGAAACCAAAAGAGCCTAAGAATACATCGGCAAGTGGAAGCTCAGCTGGTAAAACAACTGAAGAAAGAAAGGTAGAACTCACAAGAAACGAGGAAGAAAATGACCTAGATGAACAAGAAGTGAACTGTGATGCTGTTAGGCAGAACAACGGTGGAAAGAACAGTGACACTGCTACCAATGAGCTCTCAAAATCAGAAGAAATTCATGATACTTCAGACAGAAAGGAGGACGCTTCTCATTCCAAAAAGGATGATGAAAATCTGAACAGTGACTGTGGAAATCACCCAGGCACTATAGAGGAAGATTTATGTGACACTGAGAATTCTTCAAGTAACACGACGGCAGATCTACAAGATAACCTTGATAAGGATATGCTTTCAGGAGGGACCACCACAAAAACCAAGGATGATCTCAAATCATGAGTCTGAGGTTAAAAATCATTGTGTTTCATATTGAATGAAGCAAATTATTCATTGCTCCTTCGTTTCAGGTGAAATTTCCATCTAGTGTAGTATAAAATGTTCATGAGACTATGCTTGTTGCAAATGCTCAGATTAGGCTTCTGTTAGGATAATGAATTTTTTTTTCCAACCTCAGCAGTCAAACAGGTGTAGCTTTTTAAAACAATCGTGTATATTCAAAGCTAATAAATTTATCTTTTCCAGACAGATTGCGTAGAAAAGCTTATCTATTTTTTTGCTATTAAATTCATCCAGTATTTTTAAAAAAAAAAAAAAAAAGCGTACCTTACTAGAAAGCCTTGGAACATCAGAATTTTTAGATTTCTTTTAATATGCTTTAAATGTTGATTTCCTTTTATGAAATGACTAGAAATTATTTTGAGAGCACAGTTTTTTTCCCTAGTGGATATTTTTAGGGACTATGTTCATGTTTAACGGCAGTATTTGCACAGCATCTTTTACCTTAGCATCCTTGTTGGAAACACTTAGTAACGGATATCAAATTGTCCTATGCAGCTGGGTATCATTGTACATTGAATAAAAGTTTAACTTACAATGAAACCGTATCCACAGCTTTTGGGTACAAGGGAAGTTGCACTTTAGACTTCTTGTAGTCCCTGTTAAGTTCTCTCTTCTCTTGACTGATCTGTTGCTACTACTAATTTGGGGGGAGGGGTCTCTTTGATCACTCAGATTTGGTCTAGGTGTGAAAACTCTCTGTTGATGGCCTGTAATAAAACAACTTCCCCAGCTGGATTCAGCACCTGGAAAGCCTCTGGACAGCTGAAAAACAGTGTCTTCACCACAAAGCACTGCTTGGTCATCAAAGCCATCAGAGAAAATGTCACCAGGCCTGTCCAGCTGGATCTTTACCTGAACTTGGGTATTTCTTGACTGGTTTTGGGTAAGGTCTGCACAATGCTGAACGCCCTGTTGCTGGTCTGGGAGAGAAAGGCTGTCCTGCCGCTTCCTTCCAGCTGTTTCCTCTCTATCAGAGGTCTTGCACAGTTTAATGTGGTTTTGATGATTGGCTGAAACCTGAGGCAGGCCACTCTGCTGGCCTGGCTGGACCCCAGCAGGTAGGAATTTCCTGCTTAAGATCTTTCCCAACTTTCTTCACTGAAGGACTGTCAGCTTTCCCTCAGTAGCCTCTTCTACTTCATGGCATTCAGTCAAACAAGATAGTACCCAGCAAGTTAATTGTGTAGAATATGAATTACAAAATAATGCAGGTACGATGAGTCTAAAATAGTCTAAAATTTCTCTATGTATTTTCTATTTAAAAGTGTATATATTATCCACTGCCTTTAATGTATTTTTAATGAAATGTTATGAGGCAAGTGGCTGACTACAGTTTGAGTGTCAAAGTGCTACAGGACTTTATTAAAATCTTATAACTCAAAACTGACAAAGTCTTCAAGGGTGTCAGAGGATAGACAAAACGTCTGGTATTTTTCTGTTTCATTGATTCCCATCATGGCAGTGCATCATCCATTGGTTTCCCCAGGTAGCACTGTTTCTTGGGACCAAATAGAGTGGCAGTTAGAGATCTTGGTACCTACGGACAAAGATTAGGCTCTTTTCATCCTATAGAGGCAGGGAAGAAGAAAGACTTATCCCTCCTTCGCTTGTGCTGGACTTGTAAGGAAAGGAATGTATGTACATAGATTTTATTTTTTTTTTAAGGGTAACCCA